TAGAATTAGATCTATCGCTGGTCTAGGTGCATCGATTCACGGACGGAGTCGGCTCCAGTTCCGAGCCGATTCCGCGTGACGAGCGATTCGTTTCCAACGGATCTCGACGACTGATCGGGCGGACGCAGCATTGCGTCCTCGGTCGACAACGCGTTAGGAAGCATTGCACGGTGGATGTTGAGCCACTTTCCCATCCGTGAGACGCGTCGCACTGGATACACTTGGAACGCGTTGATTGTTGTCTTTTGGGATCGTTCGAAACTCGAGGAACGTTCAGAACTTTGCTTCGTTAATTGCCGATTGGCTCAATAGGAAGAGGATAACGGAATAGACGAAGAAAAGAGAAATTTATACAACAGAAATAATTAGACCAAAATAAAGAGGGAATGCTTGATTATCCTTTGAAGATTAACGAAGAAGATTGCTCTAACTGGAGATCGAATCGATTCGTTATCTTTTCTATTTTCTAAATTTTTACTTTCCGGTGTTTTATGTACGTCATACTCGTGACTCGCATTGAACGAAGACAATAGAATTCTCTGCGGCAGTCAACGCGTTAACGAGGAAGAAAGGGTAGCTCTCGCGACTCACCGACAACTCGAGTGTGTTCTGCACCGCACGTGACACACGTGAGAAACATGGCTTCACGTTTAGTCGCGCACATTGTACCAGGGCGTCGCAACATAAGAGAAATCACGGACGATCGTTGAAAAATCGGCAGATGCATCTACACGACAAGAGATAATCGCATGCGTCCGCGTCCTTCTCGCCGCGCGCCGATCTTCTCATCCGTTTCCGCAGTAGTTCACGGATTATTCTTTCGTTGCCATTTGATTGGATGCCTCTGAACGATCTCCCCATTCCTCGTAGAATGAACCGGGATTCTTGTAGCTCGGTTTCAGAGACGAACAAACGATCGACGGATCCTCGAAATTTCTGATTGAAAATTATTTACGTCACAATTGATGAGAATTGTCAGGCTTCGGTATTTTCAGACCAAAGTTCAACTAGGAGCTGTGAAACTTTTTAACGAACGCGAACGAACGTAGTTCGCGGAAGAATTTCAAATTTGAATTCCTCGATGTCGATAGAGGATGTCGATCAGTTTTTCCGTCGACGCGTTTCGAAAACGGACGGTCGGATCGCGCGGAAATTCGCCGCGTTTCGCGAGAGATTTGATACGGTGTGTACAACTGTACCGATATTATGCATAACGATCTCCTGTATTGCTGTATTGGTGCGTGCATAGTGGCGTTGATCGGAGATACTTCGAATCACCATAAGCTACTCTATCTCTCCCAACTTCCTCTGGTAAGTTTGCATGGAATCTTTGTTTCTTTTATTTCGTTGATTTTTATCGGTTTCCGTAGAACGTAAATACAGTCTCTCTACTTCTGTCTGTCTCTCTCTCTTTCTTTCTCTCTCTTTCTCTATGTCTCTCTCTCTATTTCTCTCACTCTATTTCTCTCTCTGTATTCTCTCTTCTAGACCACGATGGTTTCCGTTTCGTTTGCAAATTCGTCTAGTAACAATCTTCAACGTACGATCGTTCGATCGTTTGATCAATCAGTCTTTTCAAGTTCGCATCGGCGGCGTTGGAAGGTTGTGAACGAACGAGCGAACAGCAACGCGACGTTACGAATTATGTTCAGATTAAAATCATTCCAGTGAATTACACTGAAACAGTAGATTCCATAAATTCATAGTATTCTCGATTTTCTGGAATCCTACAGCAAAATGTTCAGGAATATTCACTGAGATTTCCTTCTTCTTTGAAGTACAATCGAGTCACTAGTTCTTCGCCTAACGATTTCTTAATTCTAAACGAAACGTTGAACGTAGTAACGTACATATATACTCTAATTAAAACACTGTTTGCCTCAGATTAATCGAAAGAGAGTTCTGTTTTCAGCTCAGGATTTCGTATCTTCGCAATTATTTCTCCGTTTCGTGGCTCGGTACACGGTGTCGCAGTAACTAACAGCATCGTTTTAAACAAGGAAACGATTCTCGCTGTTTGTCTCTGTCTGTTTGTTTGCCTACGTCTGTCTCTACTCTCGTAGAACACGCATATCTCTCCTGCCCCGTCGTTTCCCCTGTTTGAATCGAGATTTCTGTCGCGTAGGTGAGGGAACGCAGCGCGCGAAGCGTTCCCATGGGACAATCGCGAGCGTCTCGCTCTTCTCTGAGCGCCGGGACACCGGACAGCCTCAGCGACAACGAGAGTTCCTTCAGGATTGGCTCCAGGAAGACCAGTACGCCTTACAGAAGCACCATTACACCCGGTGAGTCCTCTTTCGATTTTCATTCGTCCTTCAACCCCTTCGATGCTGAACGTTTCAGAGACAAAGCTGATATAACTTCGTGTCATTTAACCCTTTGCACTCGGAAGTATTTCTTTGCACTAAGAAGTTCTCGAGAAAAATAGCTAAACGTCCTATCGAATAATCTAACGATGTACTAATGTAGAT